TAGCGAATAAGGAAGTTATCGCGGTTGTACCAGGCTAACGATAAAAAATCGTCCAATATTAATTACTCTTTATAGCCTCTTTTTGGATTTTCCTGATTTTACTGGTTTATTTTGGACAGACAAATTGGGCATTCAAGCTAAAAAGGTTCGAATGGAGGGTAATCTTGAGGTAATTACTTAATTAATTAATAATCCTATTTTACGGTAAATAAATAATGACGTGATATTCAATTCTAGGTTTCGTGTTGAAAACTAACCTGTGTTTGCTTTTTTAATATAGGTGTGGGCGGGCCCACTTTCGGGCTACAGAGTTGCACTACTGCTGCTTAACCGAGGTCCTGATCGTACCCCCATGACCGGTTACTGGGATGATATCGGCATCCCTCCAAGCAGTGTTGTAGTTGCAAGAGACCTGTGGAAGGTACACATATACATACATATATTATATATATATATATATATATATATATATATATATATATATATTGGTTTTTACGAGTACCCTTATTTCCTCGTATTTGAATTCGCAATAGACACGGAATATTGATGTTTTATGTTTTGTTTGTTATGTTGGCAGCACAAGACTCTGAAGGAAAGTTTTGTAGGGAATTTGACAGAAACAGTGGATCCCCATTCATGCAAGATGTATATATTGAAGCCAATTGCTTGAGAAATTTCACAGTATTTTTCGTTAAATTGGAAAAAAACTTCATTTTAGAGCCATCAGTTTCCGAGTGAATAAAGCTCGAGCGGGGAGAAATAAAATATTTTATGTGGACGTCGAGAACATTATATTTTTTTATTGAAAAGCAGTATTTGAGACTGATGTTTAAATTATCAATGTTCAGTACTATCGTATTACGAGAATGCCAAATGAGAATTAATACCAGTTCTTCATTAATCGATTATTTGCAACTATTATAGATCCAAATGGGAAAATGTTTCTTCACCTTGTTCGTATTCCTCGTCCAGTAAATATGATTCATGGTGAGTGTTGTCTTCGAAAAGAACAGGAGCTTCCCTATTTCCCCAAGAAATCCTGTCATTTTTTGCCACCACAGAAATTATCTTATCCTTGATGCAATCCTCGAGAAGATTGTTTTTGTTTTCTTGAGACTGCAGTCCGAGAAGAGAAAAACATTCTGTTTGGAAATTCGAGTCGTGTGACGACGTGATCAAAGCCGAAATGGTTTTGGCAAGATCAGGTGCGTAACTGCAGATCTGCAAATAGAACGATAAAAACCTCATCTTCTGGCAAAAAAAACATCTTTGCTCATTGTCCATATAGAAAGAAGTATATTAGGCAGTGTAATAGAAGACCGGAAATATGATCAAATAACCCCGGAAGTATATTGATTGGTAGTCCTATATTAAAGCTGCATCTAGAGTATAATTGTGGTACCTTGACTGCACGCTCAGTGAGGAAGACTCCTGCATTACTTTTCTTCAGTCCAGCCAATGCAAGCTTGACGGCTTTTCTGGTAAGAGATCTGTCGAGTAGATTGCTCTGTGAGCAAAGAGGAATCATAGGCCTGGGCAGAAAGTTAAGGAACAAAAAAACAAGCACTGTATATTGTTGACCAAGATTACATGGCTCTATTACGTATGTACAAACATTACGGTGGGGTGATGCATATTGTCTTTGACAAAATTAAGGATATTGTTTATGATATCTGTGGAGAACAATGTCAATGTGTGAGCGTGGTGGTAAATTCTCCCACTCTAATAATGTGACGCCATCCTGCTCGCCTACACTCTTTAGAACCAGCCCGAATTTCTTCCATTCGATGCTGATCAGAGCATCGAGAGATGCTTGTGACATTGAGCAGGGTGAGAAATCTCTGAAGTACAAAACCTAGATTCAGAAATAAAATAAGTGATTAAAGGTAAACCCAAAGGGTCCATTTGTATGTAGAAAATATTTTATCATCTTAGAGTAGACCATATAAAAGTTAAGAGTATGGTAAAAGAAAGCTTAACAAGATGCAAGCCTTGGAAAATATTCAGGACAATTTCTTCCAGGAAACTGGAAAGAGAGACATTTTTACTAGGATGGGGTGTAGCAATAAGCTCAAGACGTGTGTCTATGGCAAAATAATTCTTGGTCAATAATTTAGAGATGATATCTAAACAACAGAAAAAACTCATACTGGCATAGCTACCAAATGAATTTCCAGGTCAAAGCGTAGGAAGTTGTTACTGGTGAAGTTAGTTTACGACTATATGTTGATACATTGTGGCAAAATTGAATGTCGTAATATAACTGCAAATTGTCGAAAAGAATCATTGTTGGTTGCTACGTAAGACAGTTCACATATCCAGAACAAACCTCTGTTCTTGTACCGTAATTTCTGAAGCAGGAGGATAGATCTGACGTAGGTATTTCGCTAATGATGATTACAACTTCCATCACCTGCCTGCCACTTTGTCCGTTTGCTCGGCTACAAGCTACCCCAGTGCCAAATTTGAGATTCTGTCTGGAACCCATCTCAAGATAAAATTCAAGTTACAAATTTGTATCGGGTCATGTATTTGAAATCGCTGAACAGATATTTTCACAATCAACAAGGGCCATAAATATAAACCTCAAGATGGAAAGATTCGATAAACTGACATTTGAAATATTCCAAGAGTCGAACATCAATATTTCCTCAGTATCTAAAGATTTTCATCAGTTGGCCAATGCGCAAACATATCGATTCAATAATTAGAAGAAAACTGAAGATAATTATTAGAACATACCCAGTCGAGAAGCAAGAGTGGCAAGTTTCAACCAATCCGTTTCCGTGCTTGGAAACATAGTCTTCAAGTCCCAACTTCAGGTAGTCAATATTTGCTAAATGCATAGGTATGGTGCTGCATTCATTACGCAGAACAATATTTTCAGATTGTGATGTCACGCCACCAGTTTCAACCGATAGTTCCACTGCAATTTTCTGGAGAGTACATAAATTATCAACAAGTCAGAAGATAACCTAGCAGCAGAGTGTTTACAGAAGATTAAAAAAAATAGAGAATCTTAAAAGCTGGTTCAAACTTACAGGCGCTTTCAGAAGAAGCATCTGCAAAACAAATAAGGAAATAAAATTGCATATCAGCAATAAAGTATTTTGGTTAGCCTCCCACACACAGTAGATCTGGAAAATGGATACTCGATTCGGTCACTCGAACTATATAGATGAGGAATCCAACCTTCCGAATAAAGACGGACATCATTGTGACTAGGCCACCAACTTCTTCACAAATTGACAATGATACTTCAGTTCCACTGAAAAATAATAAAAATATATTACAAATTGCCAGAACCTGGTCTCGTAGCAATTTCTGTATTAGAGAAGGGAGGGACGAAATTACCTGAATTTTGCACCATTCTTTGTTGCAGATGGTAGAGTCATCAGTCTTTTAGAGGAGACAACTTCTTTCAAGTCATATTTCATATGATGTATTTCTTTATCAGAGGTGCCTTCAGTGAGAAGACGTGAATTTATTAAAGATGGAACTAACAGGAAGAATAGCTACGAGGCTCCGTTCTTGCTTTATTCACTTAATGACTTTTAGCAGTATTACAACCCTGATGGTTTAGAGTGAAAGACATGCATAACTAATAAAATTCACCATGCGTACAATATATGTTCGATATTATATCAACAACTGCATATTGGTCCTCCTAATTTGCCTTAATTACTATTAAAGTTTTTTTTCCAGGTGTTTATTATTTTTTTACACACACACACAGACAAAAGCATTACTAATCGGCACAAGTACCTCAATATTCTATTATCTAATAAATCTTAATTCTTCACCGCTGATTGTCCCTCCTTAACATCTAATACATCATAGCTAAGGCATTGCTGTAGTCACAAATGTTGCCTAAGTTTTCAATCAAACACCAATATTACTAAGACAGAATACATATGCCATCAACTCTGCCACAAGTCCAACTCCATCATTGTGAATATG